TATGCGCCTTTAAAGTTGGTGCGCCCACTTTTCAAAGAGGGAGGCGGCGCGCCATCTTTAAAGGCGCATAACTCGAAAACTTCCGAAGCTACACAAAAAGAATAAACTACAACAATCTTTAAAATTTCGTTGTTCACAACTTTGTAGTTTGTAGTGTCCCTTTAGCCTATATGTTTTTTGAGATATGCGCCTTTAAAGTAGGCACTGCCTATGGAGAATGGTTGCCAACTTTAAAGGCGCATAACTCGAAAACTACGGTAGCTAGAAAAAAGTTATCAACTAGAAAAATGTGGGAAATTGAATTTCACACATTTAAACATTAACTTCAGGATGATTGAAGCCGAATCAGGTACGATTCGAATCGATGACGTGGCTATCGACACAATTGGCTTGCATCAGCTACGCTCCAAGCTCATTATAATTCCCCAGGAGCCAGTGGTCTTCTCCGGAACCCTAAGATTTAATTTAGACCCTTTCAATCAATATTCTGATGCGGAAATTTGGAAATGTCTGGAAATTTGCCAATTGAAACCGTTCGCCCAGGACGATGAGCAATGTTTGGATAGGCACATTTCCGAGGGTGGCAAGAATATGAGGTACGGTATTTGGAAACTGTTAAAAGATTTAGATTTAGCGTGAAAAATCCTTTAAAATGATTATAAGCACGAATAGACTCCGCCCATTTTCAAATTTTGTCGAATTTTGACTTTAAAGGTGCATAGGGGGTTCGAATCTGAAAATTCCAGGAAAGTAGGTCATGATTATACTCATTTTAAAACTGAAACTCTAATAAATACAAAAATCGCACTTTTACACAGAAAACTTGATAAATAAAAAAGTTATTGGGAAAGCAAGATTTTGGAAATTTTTTTGAAATTTTTAGTTTTCCTTATAACTTTTTCAGATTTCAACATTTTCCGTTAAAACTTAATTTTTCGTGTTTTTCGCGTTGAGAGCTTCAAAATGAGTATAAACATGACCTACCCCCGAGAGTCAGGTGTTAGGACCCCTCATGGGGGCCCATGCGCCTTTAAAGTCGGAAAATTCGAAATGGGAGGAGCCTAGTCGTGTTTAGGCTCATTTCAAAGCATTTGTCACGAGGATTCCAAATTTCCTAGTACACACAATCTCTGAATTCTGAAATTTTCAGCGTGGGCGAGCGACAACTGCTCTGCCTGTGCCGAGCGTTGCTCCGCGGAGCCCGAATCGTGATTCTGGACGAGGCGACGGCTTCTGTGGATACTGTAACCGATGGAATTGTTCAAAGAGCCATTCGACAACACTTTCCCAAATCCACGACAATTTCCATTGCTCATCGTTTGGACACAATCGTAGACTCGGATAGGTAAGTTTGCAAAAATCTTGTTTTCACCACAAATTTTTTTATTTTCAATGTTTTCGAAAAATTTTAAAATTATCGTGATTAGCAGGTTTTGCGCTTTAAAATGAGTATAAACATGTCATACTTTCCTCAAATTTCAAAAATTCGGGCCCCCTATGCGCCTTTAAAGTCACAAAATCAAAGTGGGAGGAGCCTAGTCGTGTTTATACTCATTTTGAAGCTCTTGCCACAAAAAATTCAAAAATCAACATTTCATTCAAAAACTTCAAAATTTGAAAAAGTTATGATGAAAACTTTAATTTTCACAAAAATTTCCAATATCTTGTTTTCCCCATAATTTCTTTATTTTTCAGAAATTTTGAAAAATGTTAAAATTATCATGATTAGCAAGTTTTGCGCTTCAAAAAGAGTATAAACATGACCTACTTTGCTCAACTTTCAAAATTCGGACCCTCTATGCGCCTTAAAGTCAAAAAACCGGATTTTTTCAAAATGGGCGGAGCCTAGCCGTGATTATACTCATTTTGAAGCTCTCATCGAGCTGAATTCGAAAATTAATGTTTCAAATCAAAATTCTCAGAAATAAACTTGTTATGTTGAAAAAAAGAGACACTTCCAGAATCGTAGTCCTTGATGCCGGACGGGTCGCCGAATTCGACACTCCCTCAAATTTGTTGCTCAATCCGGATTCGTTGTATTCTCAGCTATTAAATGAGAAAAATAGAAAACAGTGATTTTTGATTCTTTTTTGTTTTGCCAGAGAAAATAAAAATATCGAATTCTAATTAATTTTTTTTCAAAATTTTTTTTTCAAAATGCGTTTTCTTGTCTATTATATATTGTAAACAGGTCGAACTTTATATCATTTTGCTCTATAGAATCTGAAAATTTTGAAAATACAAATTTCAAAAATTTTGGTCCAGTGGGTCCCGAGTTATGACCCTTTAAAGATAGCTTACCTGTAAAAAATTGGTAATTTTTTGTTTTTGAGTGTAATTTTTTAATTTAGGAACAAATTTGGCTAAATTTAATATCATTTTGATTTTCAAAACTTGAAAATTTCGAAAATATTATTTACAAAAAATTTGGACCACAAGGTGCCGAGTTGTAACGCCTAGAAACTGTCTTTAATGGCTAAAATCTATAACAATCGTCTTTTTTGTTTTTTCTGCGCTATTTTTGTTTTAGTTTTTAGCTAACTATGCCAAATTTAAGATTATTTCAATCTGCAGAATCTGCTAAATTCAAAAAGTTTGATTTCAAAAAATTTGGTCGAGTGGGTACCGAGTTATGTTCCCTTAAAGTTAGCTGACCTCTTTAAAACCAACGGTTTCAGTTTTTCCAGTGCAGTTTGATCGATTTTTGAGAAATCCATGTCAAATTTAAGATCAAGTTAATCTACAAAACTTGAGAATTAAAAAAAAATAAAGTTTTAAAAAATTTGGTCAAGTCGGTCCCGAGTTATGTTCCCTTAAAGTTAGCTTACCTCTCAAAAATAGGCGATTCCAAGTTTTCCGTTCATATTGCTTCAATTTTCAAGAAATCTTATGTCAAGTTTAGTATCATTTTGATCTACAAAACCCGCGAAATCCAAAAATATAGTTTTCAAAAAATTTGATCAACTAGGTGCCGAGCGCCTGGCTGAAATCCAGCTATATTGGCTGAAATCCCAAATAAATTGAAAATAAAGTGTTTTTTTTTACTTTGTTTCGCTTCAATTTCAATTTAAAACACCTTTTTTTCTTCTAGAAAACACCAAAACACTGAATTCCCCTCTCTTTCCCCCCCATCCATTGCTCATATTTTCCATTCTTCGCTGCCCTCTCGTTTCTCTACCACACTCTCTCGCCCTCAAACACTCTCTCGGCCGCGCGCGGTCGCGTCGCGGCTCAGCTATTTTTCAAATCGCACACCTTCGCGCTCTTTTCATTCGTCTTCTCGCCGTCCCAGCCCATCGATTTTCTTCGCAATTTATCAGTTTAGGTCTATTTTTGAGTCTAGAATCCAAAAAATCACAAAAAACTAGGTGAAAATCGACAAAAAACGAAGAAAATCCCATAAATAGGTGTTTTTTGAATATTTCGAAGTATTGCAATTCGGCTTTAGAGCCATTTTAGACGATTTTTGATGCGTTTTTTGTGTATTTCCGGTGGAAATTAGCCGGGATAAGTGATTTTCAGTGGTTTTTTGGTGATTTTTAAGTTTTTTTTAAAAATTGAAAAACCTCCAATATTAAAGGTGGGGAGACAGGAGATTATACGGCCTTTAAGTGTTTCTAGCTGACCATGATGCAAAATTCGCGATTTTTTTGTTTTTATCCCAAAATTCCCCATTTTTTGAGCCAAAATCCGGCAAAACCCCCCCCCCCCCCCCAATTGTTTTGTTTATGTCTCTCGTTTTTTCTTCATTTTCCCCCTTTTTCCTTATTTTTACCGTATTACAGTACCCAACGATATGCCGGCGCCGCCAACGACGCCGCGCACGCCGAGTACTCGAATATCGCGGCGGACATCGTCACGATCCGTCGCCACCGATGAGCCGTCAACGTCAGCGGCCGCTCCAGAAGAACCGACTTCATCGTCTACAGTAGCTCCAGAAGTAGCCATGGACGTGGATGAGCCAGCTCCACCGCCACCATCAACGTCATCAGAAGACGTGACGACGGCTGTAGAAGAGCCAGAAGTAGCGGAGGAGCCATCGAAGACGACAAATCCGGTAGATCAGAGGATCGCCTATATGTGCGCCCTGCTTCTAGCCGACAACCGAGGCATTCAAGACAAATTGTTAGTGAAAATGGGGCTGTTTTTAGTGGAAAAACTAGCTTTTTTCGAGGCCAAATTCGTCAGAAATCAGTTTAAAATCGATTTAGAGGCGTTTTGAACTAATTAACATGGCAAATTTGGTCTAAAATTAGCTTTTTTGGGGTCGAGATCCATTAGGAATGAGCCTAAATTGATCTGAGCTATTTTTTAGTGGAAAGTTTGAAAAAATAGAATTTTCGGGGTCGAAATCCATAAAAATTACCCGAAATCGATTTAGAGTCATTTTTTAACGAAAAAAGTTCACTTTTTAAGCCAAAATCCGTCGAAAATGAACTAAAATTGATGTAAAACTGACCTTTCTTACAGACTCACATCTTGTGGACCAGCTGTGCCAAGAGAAGAGCCTGTGGTGACCGCTAATACGAGACGGATCAAGCCAGTAGTGGATCATCTACATCAAGTCGAGGAAAAGTGAGTTTGGAGCTGAAAATCGAGGTTTTAGAGAATTTTTAGAGCCAAACTAACCCAGAAATCAGAGAAAAACGCGATTTTAGAGCCAAAAATGAGACATTTAGGCTCAAACACTCAACTTCAGCATCAATTTTTGAGCCAAAATTGCCCAAAATCCATCTCCAAACCCCAAATTTTCCAGATTCCTCGGTCAAGCCATCGAGGAGATTCTGAAGGATCCAAAGTATGCGGTGCTTGCCGATCTAGCGCATCCACCAGAAGCTCCGCCACCGGAGGAGACAGAGGCATCCAACCGTCCCATGCATCCAATAGAGGTGAAGATTGAGGAGCCAGAAGGTACACACGCGCCGAGCACTTCTGTTATGCCATCGGCGAACGGAGCACCCGGGGAAAGCCACGTGGAGAGAGCAGCGAAACGAGTGAGTTTGAGAAGGAAGGAGCGTCAAAAATCATGAGTTCCGCTCTGAAAATCGCTGAAAAATGCTGAAAATAAGGAATTTCGCGTTGAAAATGGCTGAAAATCATGAACTTGGCTCTGAAAATTGTTAAAAACATGGCATTTGTCTGTAGAGGTTAAAAAATCTCGCTCAAAATCAAAAATTTTAGAGTTGGAGAGATAAAAATAATCAAACATCGAAAAATTTAGCTCTGAAAATCACGAATTTCGGTCCTAAGATGGTCGAAAAATCATTAATTTCAGTCTGAAAGTGGTCAAAAAGCACGAAATCAGGAATTTTTGAATCATGAAATTCCAGGAAGCGCACGTGCTTGCTCGAATCGCGGAGCTCCGAAAGACTGGAATGTGGACAAGTGCACGTCTTCCGAAGTGTATGGAGCCCGAACGAAACAAGACACACTGGGACTATCTTCTGGAGGAGGCCAAGTGGATGGCAACGGATTTCCGAACGGAGACCAACACCAAGAAGAAGATGGCACGAATCCTGGCCCACGCCTGTGCTAAACACTACAGAGAGAAGCAGGTCGAAGTGGCGAGAGCCGCTGAACGAGAGCTCAAGGAGAAGAAGCGGATGTGTGCTGGAATTGCGAAGATGGTTAGGGAATTCTGGACTGGAGTGGATAAATTGGTGGATTTCCGAGCCCAGGAAGTGAGAACGGCTCGATTGAGAAAGGCGAAAAACAAGCATTTGATGTTTGTATTGGGACAAGTCGATGGGATCAGTAGCATCGTCCAGGATGGTCTCACATCTTCAAAATCGCCGTCGATAGCGTCGGATGATAAGGATGATAAGGAGTTTGACGCTGGATCGGATTCAGAAGAGGACGATGAGCAGACGATTGAAAAGGCGGAGAAGGGGATGAAGAAGGACGATGTGAAGAAGGAGATTGACGCTCTTCAGGATGAGGCTGGAGAGGATATGGATGATTTTCTGATTAACTTGCCTACGGAGTACCTGGCGAGCTATGGAATCACTGCGGAGGATGTGGAGGAGATGAAGAGGGCCAAGAAGGAGAGAGAGGAAAGAGCCAAGGAAGCTGCCGAAGCTAAAGAAGGAGAAGCTAAGGAAGAAGAGAAGAAGGACGATGAGCCATCGACAAGTCAGAAGAGAGTGAGTTCAGAGTCAGATTTCGTCAGAATTCGGCTCAAAAATAAGCGCTATTTCGAGTCGAAAAATCGTAGAAAAAAACTGATTTTTGCCTGAAAAAGCAATTTAAAATGCCTTTTTGAGTCGGAAATCCCATTTTTTGGACCAATTTCTAAAACCAAAACTCATGGAAAATGTGAAAAATTGAAATTTGGCCATTTTAAATCGAATTTAGTGAAAAAGTGAGCATGGTTTGAGCGAAAATACTGAAAAAAAAATAGCCGAAACTCATCGAAAAATGCGAAACTTGGATCATTTCGAACCGAAACTTGTTTTTAAAAAAAAGCTGAAAATGCTCATTTTTGATCCGAAATGAGACATTTTAGGCCAAAGTTTATTAAAACTGCAAAATTTGGCTCATTTTGACCCGAAATTTGTGAAAAATCGCACTTTTAAGCAAAAATCCTTTTCCAGACCCCCAACGCTGAGCAATCCCAAGACACCTCCGCCGAAGATGGCAATGGTGATGGTCGAGGCGTCCTCAAAAACGTAGACTACACAAAGCTGAACAGCAACGACAGTGATGAAAGACAGCAGGAGCTGGCCAACATTGCAGAGGAGGCGCTGAAATTCCAGCCAAAAGGATACACTCTCGAGACGACGCAAGTCAAAACGCCAGTACCATTCCTGGTCCGTGGAACACTTCGAGAGTACCAAATGGTTGGTCTGGATTGGATGGTGACTCTGTACGAGAAGAATCTCAATGGAATCCTAGCCGATGAGATGGGTCTCGGAAAGACGATTCAGACAATCTCGCTGCTTGCTCATCTGGCATGCTCTGAATCCATATGGGGACCACATCTGATTGTCGTCCCGACGTCGGTGATTCTGAATTGGGAGATGGAATTCAAGAAGTGGTGTCCGGCGCTGAAGATTCTCACGTATTTCGGAACGGCGAAGGAGAGAGCGGAGAAGCGGAAGGGATGGATGAAGCCGAACTGTTTCCATGTCTGTATTACGTCCTACAAGACGGTGACCCAAGATATTCGATCGTTTAAGCAGAGGGTGAGTAGAGGGCTTAATTATCGCCGGAAAATTGCTGCAAAATCGACCTAGAATGAGCCAGAAACGCCCAAAAATCGCTAAAATGGCCAAGATTTTGTTAGAAAGATCATGAAATCATCGAAAAATGGATTTATTACCAGCTTCCGATGGCATTGCTGACCTCGAAAACATTAAAATCAGTCTGTCTGTCTTCAAAATCGACAATTTCGACCCAGAACCGTGTAGCCAACTTTTTATTCATAATAAGCTGGAAAAACAGCGAATAACCAAACATTTCGTTTTTACCGGATTTTCCATTTTAAATTCACCATTTTTGACCCAAAATTGATCAGAAAATTGCGTTTTTACCAGTTTTCTAGTCTTAAAATCACCATTTTCAACCCATAATCCATCAGCAATGACCTATTTTTGCAGGCCTGGCAATATCTGATCCTTGACGAAGCCCAGAACATCAAAAACTGGAAATCACAACGATGGCAAGCGCTGCTCAACGTGCGCGCCCGTCGACGTCTTCTCCTCACCGGAACGCCCCTCCAGAATTCGCTAATGGAGCTGTGGTCACTGATGCACTTCCTAATGCCCACAATCTTCTCATCGCACGACGACTTCAAGGATTGGTTCAGTAATCCCCTCACTGGAATGATGGAAGGAAGCATGGAATTCAATGCTCCACTCATCGGACGTCTTCACAAGGTTCTTCGTCCGTTCATTCTGCGAAGATTGAAGAAGGAGGTGGAGAAGCAGTTGCCCGAGAAAACGGAACACGTCATCAAATGCTCGTTGTCGAAGAGGCAGAGGTACTTGTATGATGATTTCATGAGTCGGCGATCTACTAAGGACAATTTAAAGTCTGGAAATATGATGTCCGTGCTGAATATCGTTATGCAACTGAGAAAGTGCTGCAATCACCCCAATCTTTTTGAGCCCAGACCTGTTTTGGCGCCATTTGTGGTTCCGAAACTTCAAATGGACCTTCCTGCCTTCCTGTTCGATATTGCTCATCAGGATCCTTCCACTCCAGAGGTTCCAGAAATCTTCTACCTCAACAGAGCAGGATATCAAGCGCAGAGCAACCTCTGTCCGTTCAATAGGAAGCCATTAATCGAGGAATTGGAGGGAATGAAGAGAAATGTCGAGAAGCCAATTCCAATTGTTGATGGATTCCGTTTCAACCGTACCACCTTTGTTACTAAGAATCCACATCATCAGGGAGAGGAATCTGAAGACGAGGGTGTTCGTCACTCCAATGGAATCAATGGAAACGCCCCATCAACATCATCAGCACGACCACAAACCAACTCTGTGATTCGCTCAAAGACGGTACTCCATCCAACAACCCTTGCCATCGCCACGGATCGCAGTGGATTCCACTACGATATGGCCAATCAGGGAAGATCGAGACTGGACGAAACCGGACGATTGAGTCCTCCTCTGAAGCGTCAGAAGCTAACTGGAACCCAAATGGATTGGTCTAGCCTAGTGCCTGCGGATGTGTTGGAGAGAATGGAGGAATCTAGACGGGCTCAACTTCAAATCGTGGCTAGAAGATTCGGAGGTCTTCGTGCTCCAATAATCCCATTGGAAGTGGTAGCGTTGATCCGAGAGGAGATCGAATTCCCAAGACTCGCCACGGAGGAGAATGAAAGCGTACAAGAGGAGTTGATGGATTTTGTCGAGTTGTTGGTGCAAAGGTAATCCGTAATTTATAGGCTTACTGTAGTTTTGGGACTGAAAATTGGTTATAAGACGCTAAAACCAGCTGAACAGCCTGAAAAATTAGCTTCTAGACGCTGAAATTTCCCAAGAAACGTTCTGCGGTAGTTTCAGACTGTTTGGATTGTTTTACTGGCAGAAATTCCATCTAAAATCGACTGAAAACTTGAAAATGACTCTCAAAATTATTTTAAGCCTAAAATTGGCTACAAAACACTGAAATTATCTTCCTAGTGGTAATTTTCAGAGTCTAGAAAAACCAATTTGAGGCTTAAACGCTGTTCTAGAATCGTTTTATGAACCAAAATAGCTTTAAAAATCTGAAATTCCAGATTCGGAATGTACGTCGAACCAGTGCTCACCGACGCGTGGCAATGCCGTCCATCGTCTTCCGGTCTCCCATCATACATCCGTAACAACTTCTCGGAAATCGAGTCCTCTTCAAGAACCCTCCTTCTGAAATCCTCATCCTCTCTAGACACCAGGATGGCAATCTCCAGAAGTCTCCAGTTCCCAGAACTCCGTCTGATTGAGTACGACTGTGGAAAGCTTCAAACTCTGGCTCTCCTGCTCCGTCAGCTGTATCTCTACAAGCATCGCTGTTTGATCTTCACTCAAATGTCCAAAATGTTGGATGTGCTTCAAACCTTCTTGTCTCATCATGGATATCAATATTTCCGTTTGGATGGTACCACTGGTGTCGAGCAGAGACAGGCTATGATGGAGAGGTTTAATGCGGATTCCAAGGTGTTCTGCTTCATTCTCTCCACTCGATCCGGAGGTGTCGGTGTTAATTTGACTGGTGCGGACACTGTGATCTTCTATGATTCGGATTGGAATCCTACGATGGATGCACAGGCTCAGGATCGTTGTCATCGTATCGGTCAGACCAGGAATGTATCGATTTATCGATTGATTTCCGAACGAACGATTGAGGAGAACATTCTGAAAAAGGCCACCCAGAAACGACGACTCGGTGAGTTGGCTATCGACGAGGCAGGATTCACACCGGAGTTCTTTAAACAAGCGGATTCCATTCGGGATCTTTTCGATGGAGAGAATGTGGATGTGACGGCGCCTGAAGACGTTCCACTGAACGAGAAGGATATGGAAAAGGTTATGGCGAGATGTGAGGATGAGGCAGATGTGAATGCTGCTAAGAATGCTGCCGCTGAGGCTACGGTGGACACTGCTGAATTTGATGAGCGGACGATGCCGGGAGCTGCGGGAGCGACGTTGGCTGAAGAGGAGGCTGATGAGAAGTATATGGAGTTGATTAAGAGCGTGAGTTTTCGTTATTCTACCTGAAATTGCATACTGATAGTCTGAAATGGCTTGGAACAGCCAATTTTGTCGATTTTGAGCTGAAAATTCGCCTAAAATCGGTCCTAAAACCACAGAAAACTAGTCAGAACCATTTTCCGTCGTTTTGGAGGACCTTGGGGCTGAAACAGGCTCAAAGATCCCCAAAATCTGAACTTCGACCATTTTCAGACGTTTTTTGTAGCACATTTGCTGAAAATCTGTCTGAAAATTCCCATAAATTGGTCTGAAAGTTGATTTTCGATGATTTCAAGCTGAAAATATGTTTGAAATAGGTCTGAAAATGCTCAAAAATCGGTTTCAAGTCGATATCATATCAACAATGTTTGAGCTGTAAACTATATGATGAATTTGACACCAAAATAAACTTCTCCATGTTTTTCAGCTTCGCCCCATCGAAAGATACGCTGTCAACCTTCTGGAGACTGCCTACAAGCCAGAATTCGAGGAGGAGTGCAAAGAGGCTGAGGTTTGTGCTTAAAATGACTCAAAAGTATTCTAGAGACCATGAGATTGCTCAGTTGCAGCTCCAGAAATATCAAAATGGCCAATTTTAGAATTTAAAACCTCAAAAATAGAAATTTTCAGAGTTTTGAGCTAAAAATGGCTGCTTCTAGTCATTAAAAAAAGAAAAAACTGAACACCTCTAGAATCCCAAAAATCCCAAAATTCCAGGCCCAAATCCATCAAAAACGCGAGGAATGGGACAAGAATCTGAATGATCTGAACACCGCCTCCGAGCAAGCCGACGAAATGGCCGATGACGTCGATTTCTATCCGAATGCCGCCACGGAAGAGGTTAGAAAGAAGAAGGCAACGGCAGCAGCAGCTAAAAAAGCCCAAAAATTCGTTGTCCGTGCTCGTTCGCCATCGAAACGAAAGTCCCTAGCCCCCTCATTCGATCCCTATATCTCTTACGCATCGCACGCTCTAGGTTCTCCACCAGATTCGCCAGTTAAGAAGAATGTTGTTATCAGTAGTAGTAGTAGGCGTAGTAGCAGTACGGTAGGTGGTACGGTAGGTGGAAGAGGACGTCCAAGGAAGTTTGTCAAGAAGGGTGAGCAATCGGAGCCAGAGGAGGATTCTGATGAAGACTACGAGGAAGTCAAACCGAGACCGGTGAAACGGAAGAGAACGGAGCCAATCCGAGAGGAGCCCAAGAAGGAGGCGGAGCCTAAGAAGCGACTCGCTCTCCCGGAGCAAGGGCCACTGACACTTCCAGCGGCTCCAGCGCCATCCCCAGCTCCTAAGCCGCCATCAAAACCAGCCCATATAGCTACACCTAGACCAGTAGCAGCTCCAGGACCTCGAATCTATCAACCACCAGCTAATCTGATGCCTGTTAGAGTTATTCGGGCTTCTGGACCCCCTGGAGCGGGACCCTCTGCACCATCCCGCCTTCCTATACCCCAAGGAACAGCTGCTTTCCGACGACCCATGACTACAGGAATCAGACCTGCGATTGGAGCTGGAATCGGCCCTGGAAGACTCCCCCTTCGTCCACAGACCAGAATCCCTGGAATTCAGCCACCCAGGCAGTTTGTGGTTCCAACCGGACCAGCTGGAGCTGTCACCTCAAATATTCAACGAATTCGAATGGTTCCTGTGGCATCTGGAGCCCCTGGAGCCCCCCGAGCCGCCACTGGAGCTCCGAGAGCCGCTTCTGGCCCTCCTAACAAGATGATGTTCCCGGTTCGAGTGGTCCAACGACCAGCCACCACTGCAATGACGTCTCCAAGAATCGCAGTACCTCTAGAACGCCCCGGATTTGGAATATATGAGAAGCCACGGTTCTCGCTGGGATCGCGGAGAGCACGAGGAGCGTCCGAAGCGTTCTCTCCTGGAGCATCGACGTCGTCTCTATCGCCGCGGCCTCCTCAACCGCAACCACCACCACCGGCACCGCCAGGCGCCTAGATTCTAGGGTTTAGGGACCCCATTTACTACCACATTTTTTGCCTATAAGTTGTCAAGAATGCGCGTTTTTTTTAATTTTAACTTTTTTCAATTATGTAGGAGGGAATAGGAGGAGGATCTGGAAATTTTTTGAGCTGAAAAAAACTGAAAATGAGTAATTTTGATTCATTTTCCGGCAGTCAAAATGACCGAATTTTGACTTTAAATGGCTGAAAATGACCTAATCCTGGCTTAAATAGCTGAAAATGGTCAATTGCGGCCTAGAAAAATTGAAAAAAATTAGGCCACCAGTCAAAAAGAGCCCATATGAGCCAAAAATGACTTAAAGTGACCGTATTTTTGACTTAAAATGGCTTTAATTTTGACTGAAGATGACTGAATTTTAGCTTAGAATGGCAGCAATTTTGGCTGTGATTAGCTGTATTTTTGGCTTAAAATAGCTGAAACCGGTAAATTATGGCCTGGAAAAAGTTAGGCCAGCACTCTAAATAAGCCTATTTGAGCGAAAAATATGGCTCGAAATTGCTGTATTTCTGGCTGAAAATAGATCAAAAATTGCTAAAAGCGATCGGCTCGAAATGATCGAAAAATGGCCATTTTAGGACTAAAAATTGGTAAAAACCACCGAATTTTGGCATAAAATAGCTGAAAATGTCTCAAAATTCTGCTCCTCCTCCTAAGCCCCGCCTACACACACACACACACACACACAAAAACCAGGTCTCTTTTATTCTCTTGTTCTACACACATCCCGGCTGCTCCGCCCCCATTTTTCTTCGGTTTTACACACAAACATGTCCCTTTAAGAACCACCCACTTTCTTTCCCTAATTTTTAATTTTTTTCGAATTTTGCCGAATTTTTCAAATTTTCTCTCTCTCTCCTGAATATATAAACATGGTGTCTTCTTTTTTTTTTGATAATTCCATATTCATCGCCGCTGATAACCTGATAATGGTGATTTATCGATGTTTTTTGCTCTCTGAAATTTTCTTATTTTTTCTGAAATTTCGCTGATTGGCTCTATGATTGATTTTTCTCGGATTTTTCTCGCGTTTCTCGTTGTTTCCGGTCCGTTTCCGTCGCATTTTTCAGATTTTTCAGCATATTTTCCGGTCTCATTGGGGGTTCTCTATAGGTGTTTTTCCACCCACTTTTCGCATTTTTCTCACTTTCTTTTTCCTGGATTTTCGATCCTCAAAAATCATTTCTCGCCATTTTTCGGCAATTTTTCCTTCTCCTTTTTTTCTGTTATTGATAATTTTTAAAGTGCGAAAAAATGCGAAAAAGTGGCGAGAAATGTATTGAGAATCCTGAAAAAAAACTACTGTAATTATGAGAGCTAAAAAAGTCTGAAAAATGCGAAAAAATGGTGGAAAAACGAGGGGAATGATGAGATTTTTCGTCGTGGTGGAAAAAGAGTCGTAGAGTTTCAGATGGAAATTCTGGAAGAAAAGGAGAAGTTTTGGAAGGAAAAAAATTGCCGAAAAATCGCTGTTTTTGATGGTTGAACGACGCGATTTTTAATGGAATTTTCAGAAGAAGAGAGAGAGAGAGAGAGAGATACGGTGGTTTTGGAGCTGAGCAATGGAGAAATCTGAAATTTTGACTGAAAAATAGGGATTTTAAGACTCAAAAATTCCCATTTTCAGTTAAGATTCCTGGGGGGTAAAATGGCTGAAAATTCACCTTTTTGACCAGAAAAAATTTTGGCTGAAAATGGGGTTTAACGTCTTAAAAACCATCTTAAAAGTGTCGAAAAATGCCCAATTTCATAGAATCTAAGGCTAAAAAAGGTATCTCGAAATATCTCATTTTTACGATTTTTTGGACTTTTAGATGTCTTAATTTTTTGACTGAAAACAAGGATTTTGAGCCTAGAAAATTCGAAAAAAAACAGCTGAAATTTCCGTTTTTGACTGAAATTTCGGGCTAAAAATGTAGCATTTTCAGACTAGAGCGTCTCAAAATATCGATTTTGAAGGGTTTTCGGTTTCTTGGTGCACAATTTCGACTGAAAATTGAGATTTTAAGTCGAAAAATGCCCAAATTATACGGTTTTTGAAGTCGAAATGATCTCAAAATGCGATGATTTTTCATGAGTTTTAGTGCTCTAAATGCTCAATTCTTGACCCGAAAAACCGGATTTTTGGGGGTTCCACATGTTCAATTTTGGCTGAAAATTGGGATTTTCAATCTGAAAACTAGGGATTTAATGTCAAAAATACGTCCAAACTCCCAAATTTGTCTGAAAATCGAACAAAAATGTGTGAAAGTGACCGAAAACTAGCAAAAAAAAAGCAAAAATTGACTGAAAACGTCTGAAAATGTTGGAATTGAGGAAAATGTGAAAATTTTAAGCTAGTAAATTAGGGTTTTATAGACAAAAATGGAGAAATGAATGTGCTGGAATTTCAGTCAAAGAAAAGCATCTAGAACGCCGCTGAAAATCAATAAAATCGCGAGTTACAGTAGTATCTTTTAGGTTGAAAATTGACTTTTAGGCACCCTATGATGCTCAGACTGCAAAAAATACGTCAAAAATACGTCCAAACTCCCCCAAATCTGACTGAAAAACGCCCAAATCTGACTGAAAAAGTCTGAAAATGACTAGAAATGAGTCAAAATGGTCCCCCCAAACTACTTAAACTAGCTTAAACGCGTCTCTCCTATTTCAGTGGAAATTCGCAGACGATGCGGCAGAGGAGATGCCAATTTGGATGCCCCTATCACCGCCGGATTCCGACGGTGACATGTGTGATTTGCGGATGGAAGAGGACTGTTTCGACTTCGTCTATGAGATTGAGCAGATGAGTGAAGCACGTCTTCCTCACGTCATTCACGAGTTGAGACGACCATCCGCCGAGAAACAGCAACAGCAGAATAATAATGGGAATGATCACAAGAATCTGAGCAATCAGTTGAGCAATGGTGAGGAGCACTTTGAGCTGAAAAATGGCATTTAATAAAATTGCTGAAAATCCAACCAAAATAGAGAGATTTTGAGCTGAAAGCGGTTTTAAAATAGCTGAAAATATAGAAAAATTGGTTAAAAATGGCTGAAAATAGCTGAAAAATAGAGAGATTTGAGCTGAAAATTGCTTAGAAGTAGCTGAAACTATAGAAAAATTGGACAAAAATGGCTGAAAATGTGAAATAAGAGCTAAAAACTGGTTGAAAATTGCTGAAAATAACTGAAAAATAGACTAGAAATGGCTGAAAATCCATCAAAATTAGCGATTTTTGAGCTAGAAATTTCTAAAAAATCTGCAATTTTGAGCTGAAAACTGAAAATATAAAAGCTGAGCAATCGGGCTAGAAATGGGTGGAATCTAGCGGAAAGAGTTGACGAATTTTGACTGAAAATCCAACAAAGTACAGAGAGATTTTGAGCTGAGAACGGCTTGAAAATAGCTGAAAATAGCTGAAAAAAATAGAGAGATTTTGAGCGTTTTGAGCACTTTTTGAGCTTGAAAAATAGCTGGAAAAATAGCCAAAATGGTCAAATTTTGGCTCAAAATAACCGATTTTTGAGCTTGAAAAAGCTGAAAAACCACCGAAAATGATCGAATTTTAGTTGAAAATGACTGAAAAGCGGGGCTTTTCAGCTATAATACTGAAAATGGACGCTTTCGGTTCAAAGTTGTTAGAAAAATTGATTGTCGAATTTCGGCTGAAAATGAATGAGAATTAGCGATTTTCGAGCTTGGAATAGCTAGAAAAATTGCCAAAATAATTGAGTTTTGAGCTGAAAACGGCTTGAAAATAGCTGAAAAAAATAGACTAGAAATGGCTGGAAAAATAGCCAAAATGGTCAAATTTTGGCTCGAAATAACCGATTTTTGAGCTTGAAATTACTGGAAAAATAGCCAAAATAATCGAAAAAACGGCTTGAAAATGACTGAAACTGGTTTTTTTCTGGCCAAAAAAAATGCAATAAAATGCGTTTTCAGCCATTTTTGAACCAAAAGATCGATCTGAAAACCAGCGGAAAAAGAAATCTGATGACTCATACAAACTATGTGTTTGATGAGCAATCTAGGCCACGCCCCCTTGTTTCCAGAAGGTTTTTCGAATTTTCGATTTTGAGAGTATTTTTCGCGATTTGGCTTTAAAAAATCAGGGGGAAAAATGCTCCAAAAATGATCAAAATGTGATTTCTCTAGCTGAGAGAAATGCTCTAAAATCCTCGAAAATTGAATTTTAAAAAAAAAGAATTTTTGCAGATATTCAAAAAGACAAGGATTCGGTGTATGACGCCGTCGCCAAGATGATCTCCATCCCATCAACTGATAAGCTGATGGCCGCCTCGCCAGCCTACACGGATAACTCGTTCTCAATGGACGACACGAGCCAAGAGCCGAAAGTTCTCGATGGAAGCTCCGCCCACTTGGATCAGGGCACTTCGTCGTCGGGTCCGGTGATTCCACAACAGTTGCACCATCAACACCATCACCATCATCATCATCAACAAGCACAACAGCATCAAATGCCACAACCGCCGAAGCCAAAGAAGTCAAGAACTGATAAACGAGCGGTAAGCGAGAGAAAAGAAAAAAAAAAGAGAAAAAGGCTGAAAATGATGATCCAGGAGGCATTTTTAATGGTTTTTAAGCTGAAAATAGCTGAAATTTTGTCTGGAAACTGCGATTTCCGGGTATTTTCAATGATTTTGAGCTAGAAAATGGTTGAAAATGATGATCCAGCAGCGATTTTGAATCGTTTTAAAGTTAAAAATCGCTGGAAATTGGTCCAGAGAAACGGCTGAAACAATCGATTTTTGATTATTTTTAGCCATTTTAAACGGTTTGAAGCGCTGAAAATAGCTGAAATGTGATCTAGAAACCATATCTAAAATGACCGTGGGGAGACGGTCTAAGACGATTTTCAGCGCGATTTTAAACAGTTTGGAGCTGAAAATGCTGAAAAATGCTACAAAACAGTGGTTTTTATCACATTCTGAAAATCACCATAAATAATGCAGAACCCGATTTTCAGCCACTTTGAATGGTTTTAGGCTTAAAATAGCTGAAAATCATGGAAAACTAGCTGAAAGTCGGTCTAGAAACGACTGAAAATGGCCCAGGACGATGCCTAGCCATTTTTAGCTAAAAAAAGCTGAAATTTGGTATCTGAAAGACTCGGAAATCCGATTAAAATCAGTCTGAAAACACACCTAAAATTTAGTCAGAATCATTTTCCATCATTTTCTGTGAAATTCTACTTGAACAATGGCACTGAAATGACTTGAAATAGCTCTTAGGAAGTCGATTTTCGATTTTCAGCCATTTTAAACGGTTTGAAGCTGAAAATAGCTGAAATTTGATCTAGAAACCATATCTAAAATGACCGTAGGAGACGGTCTACGACGATTTTCAGCGATTTTAAACAGTTTGAAGCTGAAAGTGCTGAAAAATGCTATATAAGAACGACACAAAACAGTGGTTTTTATTATCACATTTTCGAGCTCAAAATATTCAAAACTAGAGCTGAAATTTGGTTTTAAGACGACTCGAATTATGACTAAAAATTTTAGCCACTTTGAATGGTTTTAGGCTTGAAAAACTAGCTAAAAGTTGGTCTAGAAACGACTGAAAATGACCCAGGACGATATCTAGCCATTTTTAGCTAAAAAAAAACTGAAATTTGGTCCAGAAATGACTGAAAATGACCATTACTGATATGAGATGATGTCTTTCAGCTTTTTCTTTTTGAACGATTTTGAGCTGAAAGTAGCTGAATTGAGCTCCAGAATCTAGCGAACTTCCTCAATTATTCAGAACCAAAACCGCACCGTGGAGAATCGTGAGGTGAAACGAGCGACGACGCCGCCAGCCGCATGGCGAGAAGACGCCGAATACGACGGTCCCGAGTGGAACATCGTCGAGGACTACGCACTGCTCCAATCGGTTCAAGCCGAGTTCGCGAATGCTCACAAAATTGAGAGGCAACCGGAGATGGAGGGATTGCTCATGAATTGGGAGCTGGTGGCGAGCGCTGTGAACAAGCACACACGATTCTATCGATCCGCCAGGCAGTGTAGTATTCGGTAAGCTGATTAATTAGCTTTAAACGTCTGAAAATGGTCTGAAATCCGTTGAAATGGGGACTGACAATCATCTAATTTAGATTCTAAAACCATCAAAATTGCTCAGAATCACTGAAAACTAGCCCTGAAATTGGCTGAAAATAACTTAAAATCCCTTAAAATTGGACCATCTAGAACCCCCCCCCCCTTTAAACATGCTAGAAAACAGCAGAAAAGTCTGAAAATTGGCTGAAAATGGTCAGGGATCTCTAGGGAAACGTCTTTCTGAGCATTGACTTGAAATGAGTTAAAATCACACCCAAAAACGGCTTTCAGTCACTTTTTTTTAGATGTTTTGAGTCCCAAAAACTGATTTCCAGCCATTTCCAGCCAGATTGCTCATCTTTAATTCTCCCAGATACCAAATGTTCGTACGTCCAAAAGAGATGGGACAACTCGTCGCCTCGGATCCGATCACGAAAAAAGTGATGAAAGTGGACTTGTCGACGCTGGAGCTGTCGCACCTTCGACGCGGACGAATGTCCACATTCAGCCAGTATGCACACGATTACGGTAGTATGACTGATAAGAAGTGGTCGAATCGATGCAAGGTGGTCAAGCAGACGGCCGCGAAACGACAAGTTCAATTTTGGAGAGGACCCAGAGGTAGGGAGGAGGAATTGCTGGAAACGACCTAGAGTTGTCTAGAAATGTCCAGAATCATCATGTGAATCGACAAAAAACCAACCTAATCTAGCTTAAAATAGGCCTTTTCTAGCTTAAAATTGGCCTAATCTAGCTTGAAATAGGCTTTTTCTAGCTTAAAATTGGCCTAATCTAGCTTAAAATTGGCCTTTTCTAGCTTAAAACTGGCCTAATCTAGCTTAAAATTGGCCTTTTCTAGCTTAAAATTGGCCTAATCTAGCTTAAAATTGGCCGAATCTAGCTTAAAATTGACCGAATCTAGCTTAAAATTGACCGAATCTAGCTCAAAATAGGACCCCGCCAAATTAGGCTAGAAAAAAGCTCTAGAAAAACGCCTAAAACAGCCTCGAAATGATGCTGGAAATAATCTGAAAATCTGTAAAAAAGGACTATAAATCTCAGCTGAAAATGGACCTAAAAACAACCAAACTAGGTTTAGAATTGGCTTAAAAATCGTCCAAAAGTGATCAAAATGGCTTAATCCAGCTGAAATTACCCAATCTGACCACTGAAAATCGATAAAAATTCAAATCTCCGCGCGTTTTGTCTCCGCAGAGGGCCTAGAATACCCCCCTCCCCCCAGATACACAGTCCTTCAATTTTCCGATGATAGGAATTTTTGAATGGGGAGATCTACAAAGATTTCTGCATAAAATGGCTCGGTCTAGGCTTAAAACTAGGCTTAAAACTAGGCTTAAAATCGCCTAATCTAGCCAAAAATCGTGCTAACCTAACCGAAATTCGGCTTAATCCAGTTTAAAATTGATCGGGAAACGCTTTTCAGGCGATTTTTAGGCCCTTTTTAGGCGGTTTTTTGGTCTTCTAAAGGCCGAATCTAGCTTTGAAAATTGCCTCATTCTAAACCAAATTTAGTGATTTTTAGGTCTGAAACCCTCCGAATCTCTCTCTCTACTATTTACAGATATTATGTCTCGAAACCTTCAATCTCTGGAGACTGGAATCCCGCCGGCTCACATTCCGAAACTCCAAGAGTTCGATGTTCGTCCTGGTGTTCATTTGAACGCTGAGGAGGTGATTACGATGAGTCCAGAGGCGATTGCCGCCTATGAGCAGAGCAAGAAGCGCTTGATGATGGCGAATCGGCAACCGAGACCGGTGAGTTTTTGGCAACTTGAAATTGGCTGAAAATTGACGGAAAATAGTTGGAAAATGGACCAAAAACGACGCAAAAAACACGCTGAAAGTTGCCCAAAACTGGCTGAAATTAGCTGAAAATTGACCAGAAACGACTCAAAATAGTTGAAATTTAGCTGAAAAGGGCCTAAAAAGATCCCAAAACTTTTGCCGAAATTATGCTGAAAATGACTAAAAATAGAAGAAAAATGAGTCAAAATGAAACAAAAATCGCTGAAAATAGTTTAAATTTGGCTGAAAATGGGTCAGAAATGACTGAAAATGATTTCAAGTCGAATTAAACGAATTCCGGAGCATTCTGAGCCAACAATTGACTGAAAATAGCTGAAAATAAACCGAAAAATTAAGCGCCGTTTACAGCTGATTTTGAGCCAATTTAGACGATTTCCGGATCATTTTTTCGGAAAATTGACTGAAAATCGACTGAAAAATCACTTAAAATAGTAGAATTTTGGCTGAAATAGACGAAAAACGCTTTTTGATGATTTTTAGACCATTTTTAGCTATTTTAAGACGAGTTTTAGGCCAATGAGAGCCAAGTTGGAACAATTTAGACGGTTTTCGCCAAAAATCTAGCCATCCCAAACAAATCCCCATCATTTTCAGCCACCCCGTCAAGACTATCGCTTCCAATCGCTCGTCATCCGTCCCTATACCGTACCAATCGCCACAGATCTCGAACCAACACCACCGCGTCGAGAAATGGTCATCGCCGTGCCCCCGCTGGTCCCGGCCGCCCCCATTGCTCAGCCTCCACCAGCTCAGTCGATTCACGCGGCGCCACAGAACTCTCAACAACAGCAGAATGCTCATCAGAATGCTCATCAGAATCCCCAAGGACAGGGCGTTCAGAATCAGAATCCTCAACCTCTTCCACCGATCCATCATCTGCAAGGATCGTCAGGAGGTCTTGGTGGACAACTTCCACCCATTGGACACCTTCACATGCGACAGATGCATCAGGAAGCGGGTCAGCAGGGACAGCTAGTTCACTCTGGCTCCGCCCATCACATCGCTGGCCCCGCCCATCATGCTGGAGGCGGGACGATTCAACGAAGAACAGTTTCGGGCACGAATATGGCTTATATGAATGGCGCAGCAAATGGAGGAAATGGACCACAAGGACAGAGCTACGTTGTCATGGGATCAGGGCAAGCAGGAGAAGCCACGCCCACCCAGCAAGGAGGAGCCCAACAACAGCAACCCCAGCATCCTCAAATCCAACAGCAGCAGCAGCAGCAACAACAGAGAGTACAGTATGTTCCACAGGGTGGCGGACGAGGTGCCTATCCGACGAACACGCTGGTCATGCAACGAGGTGGACGGGTGGTTAGGGTGAGTTTTTCATTTTTTTTTTTCGACTTGAAATTTGGGCTTAAAATGGCTGAAATGACTATAATTGACTGAAAATGGCTCAAAACGATGCTGGAGAATAGAATTCCAGATTATTTTCAGCCATTTTTTAGTCGTTTAGGTTGAAAATTTGCTTTGAAATGAGCTTTCTAGATCTAAATAGCTTGCACCAAAAAAATCGTCTAAACCCATCCGAGACGTTTTAAATTGATTCTAGATGACTTTTTGGCAGATTTTTGAGCTTAAACTCGTCTGAAAATGGCTAAAACGATACTTGGAAAATTCTGACAATTTCAAGCCATTTTCACAGATTTTATGCTGAAAATTAACCTTAAAATCGTCGAATAAGCCATCCTAGGGCTTTTGGACGTGATTTTGAGCTAAAAATGAGCTGAAATCCGCCCATAACAACTGAAAATGGCTCAAAACGATCCTAGAGGTCTTCTGGTGGTCTTAAGCCATTTTCACAGATTTTTTGCTGGAAATTCGTCTCAAAATGCGGCGCTAGAAATGCTTAAAAATGGTCAAAGTCCATCCTAGGTGTACTGGACGGATTTTCGCGGTTTTTCAACAGATTTTTAGCTTGAAACTAGGCTGAAAATAAGTGGAAGACTGATAAGAATTGAATGGGCCAAAAAGTGGTTTTTTTGAGCTTGAAATGACTGGAAAATGCTGAAAATTAGCTTTAAAAATGAGCCATTCCCCCCTTCTAGACTATAATTTCCAGCCAACGGGACCAATGCAAGCAGCCGCTGGTGGCGGCGGGCGTATGTTCATCGACAATCGCCATCATCAATACCCCCAGAACGTGGTGCCTGTTCGTGTGATGCCCGCGGGACAACAACCACAACGAATGATATCCGGACAGAGGAGACCGCCGGCACCAGGAACCGTCGCCGCAATGGTACTACCGCATCGAGCCGGAAATGGTGGCGTTGGACAGATTCGAACCATGCAGTAAGTATCCCGAATTTGATGGAAATTGACCCGAAATGGCTGGAAATTAGCTTGAAAACCTGAAAAATCGCTTGGAAATTTGGTTTTCTAGGCCACCAGTTTTGGCCTCCGAAACTGCGAAAAAAAAAATCACTTAAAATTGACCATTTCTTGCCTCTTTTCGCTCTCGACGGCTTAGAAAATTTGGTTGAGATTTTCTAGGACACCAGAACCATCCTGAAAAATGCTCCAGTTTTTCAGTGGCCTAGAAACTCCTTGAGATTGCATTTCCAAGGCCATTATGAACCTAACCCTGCTCCTGGTGTGCTTCTTAGGCCGTTTTAGCGTGGTGGAGGCCTAACTTTTGCAAGTTTGGAGGTTTTCTAGGCCATCACGCTAAAATGGCCTAGAAAACCTACCAGGAGCATTTTGAGGTCATTCGTAAATCATTTTAGCGTGGTG